CGCCTTAGCGTGCCCGGCGTGGTGGCTCTTAGCTTTGTGTTGGTAGAACTAAGGGATGTACCACATCTGAAGATTTTCCACAGAACTAGTGATTAGTTGCGAGAGGCTTGTGGGAAGGAGTTGTAGGATGAAAAGGAAGCATAGATGCTCTCAGGTATCCCTATCTATAAAAGGCAGTGTGTGTGTGTGTGTGTGTGTGTGTGTGTGTGTGTGTGTGTAACGAATGCACGGCCGCAATTTTCGACGGATTTGCACCAAAAATTACATGCACATGCTCCAAGTTAGCGGGAAGGCCAAGACCGACATTGCATTTCCCAACTCCCATCGATAGTGGAAATAATCGATTTTTTTTATGCTTCTACGGCACTTTTCATGTAGTTTGCGGCCATTTTCTACTGGCCAGACTGGGGGCCGATAGCTGGCTGCCACGGATAGGCAGGAAGATGCTATTGGCCAGCGTGAGAGCCAACAGCTGACTGACACGAATGTTAACTAGTATGCTAGCATGCAAAAAAAATCGACAGCCGCATTCGTCACAAGTGGGACAAATTTAAATCTGCATGGCACTTTACTCCAATTGGCTCATTCGCTTGCTTAAACTCAACGTTGATTCTGATTCCGCAGAACTGGATTTGGTGTGAAAAAGTATTTGTTGTTAACATTCTTTTTTCATTCGGTTTTTCCAGTTACAAGTTCTTTTTTAAAGCTAATCGTTTTGTGTTCATTTTGTTTAGTTCTTTTTTTCGTAACAGATTTAATGTTTAGTGTCGAGCTTAGAAAAAATTCGCAGTGTGAGATAGGCAAGAAGTAAGGCATGTAGCAACATCAGCACGGGAAGGGCACTCCTTTAAAGGCAAGGAAGGGCAAAATATTTTAAGTCAAGTGATAGTGATTGCTGTATGTGTCGTACGATTTTTGAATCAAGCACGGGCAACGTCGGGTCATGCTGCTAGTATACGATAAGTCTAAAGAGGAATACGACTAAATTTTGCTGAAACCAATAAAGATAACAGTCCGAAAATGTTTGAAATACAAGAACCCCTTGATTAGTGCGATTAGTGTGTACATTGGTAAGTATTAAAAAAAATCAGTGTTCAATTATTATGGTTAAAATGAAGAATGTTTTACAGCACTAATCGAGTATTATGTATGCACTAATCAAATTTTGGTATATAAAAAATTAGAGCACTAATCGAAAACGCATTAATCGAATGCAGCCCGTATTCAGTTACACACGCATTTACCTTTGGGAGAGTTATGAATCCACCTCTTATCTCCCCAGCTATGGGTTAATTAGTAGGACTAGTATCAGTAAATCATCGTTCTCTCACAAAAAATTTTGCAATCTAAAAATATTTTTTATATTCTGTCTTCCATAGATACATACATATATATCACGTTGAAACAGAAGTACACGTACGATCACTGAAGTTAAGCAACGTTGGACCAGGCTAGTACCTAGATGGGTGAATGCTTGGGGATACCATCTGCCGTAAGCCTGGAGGTGCGAGTGGGTGTAATGGATAAAGACTTGGAATTAAAACTCGTCTCTCCGACTACCAATTCCAGTCAATATTAATTGAAAAAGCATTAATCGAGGGATGCTTATACTGATAATTCATACAGGCACACAAAATATATCTGTATCGTTCTCTATATTGTTTTCTAAGATTTTCCAGGCTTTCATTTTTCTGTCTTTGTCTCTTTCTTCTCTCTGTTTGATGCCTTTATTTATTTATACTCTCTTCTTACTGGAGGTTACTCTTTCTTTCTCCTCTCTGTTTGATGCCTTTATTTATTTATACTCTCTTTCTCCTCTCCGTTTGATGCCTTTATTTATTTATACTCTCTTTCTCCTCTCCGTTTGATGCCTTTATGTATTTATACTCTTTTCTCCTTCCGTTTGATGCCTTTATTTATTTATACTCTCTTTCTCCTCTCCGTTTGATGCCTTTATTTATTTATTCTCTTTCTCCTCTCCGTTTGATGCCTTTATTTATTTATACTCTCTTTCTCCTCTCCGTTTGATGCCTTTATTTATTTATACTCTCTTTCTCCTCTCCGTTTGATGCCTTTATTTATTTATACTCTCTTTCTCCTCTCCGTTTGATGCCTTTATTTATTTATACTCTCTTTCTCCTCTCCGTTTGATGCCTTTATTTATTTATACTCTTTCCTCCGTTTGATGCCTTTATTTATTTATACTCTCTTTCTCCTCTCCGTTTGATGCCTTTATTTATTTATACTCTTTTCTCCTTCCGTTTGATGCCTTTATTTATTTATACTCTCTTTCTCCTCTCCGTTTGATGCCTTTATTTATTTATACTCTCTTTCTCCTCTCCGTTTGATGCCTTTATTTATTTATACTCTTTTCTCCTCTCCGTTTGATGCCTTTATTTATTTATACTCTCTTTCTCCTCTCCGTTTGATGCCTTTATTTATTTATACTCTTTTCTCCTCTCCGTTTGATGCCTTTATTTATTTATACTCTCTCTCTCCGTTTGATGCCTTTATTTATTTATACTCTCTCCTCTCCGTTTGATGCCTTTATTTATTTATACTCTCTCCTCTCCGTTTGATGCCTTTTTATTTATTTATACTCTCTCCTCTCCGTTTGATGCCTTTATTTATTTATATGCCTTCTTATTTATTTATACTCTCTTTCTCCTTTTGATGCCTTCTTATTTATTTATACTTTTCTCCTCTCCGTTTGATGCCTTTTATTTATTTATACTCTTTTCTCCTCTCCGTTTGATGCCTTTTATTTATTTATACTCTCTTCTCCTCTCCGTTTGATGCCTTTATTTATTTATACTCTCTTTCTCGTCTCTGTTTGATGCCTTTATTTATTTATACTCTCTTTCTCGTCTCTGTTTGATGCCTTTATTTATTTATACTCTCTTTCTCCTCTCTGTTTGATGCCTTTATTTATTTATACTCTCTTTCTCCTCTCTGTTTGATGCCTTTATTTATTTATACTCTCTTTCTCCTCTCTGTTTGATGCCTTTATTTATTTATACTCTCTTTCTCCTCTCTGTTTGATGCCTTTGATGCTCTTTTCTCCTCTATTTTATTTATTTATCTCTTTTCTCCTCTCTGTTTGATGCCTTTATTTATTTATACTCTTTTTCCTCTCTGTTTGATGCCTTTATTTATTTATACTCTTTCTCCTCTCTGTTTGATGCCTTTATTTATTTATACTCTCCTCTCTGTTTGATGCCTTTATTTATTTATACTCTCTTTCTCCTCTCCGTTTGATGCCTTTATTTATTTATACTCTCTTTCTCCTCTCCGTTTGATGCCTTTATTTATTTATACTCTCTTTCTCCTCTCTGTTTGATGCCTTTATTTATTTATACTCTCTTTCTCCTCTCTGTTTGATGCCTTTATTTAAACTCTCTTCTTACTTGAGGTTAATATTAATTTCCTTTCATGCCTTTTTTATGTTTTCCTTTCTTTCATTCTTTCTTTGATTTTTATCCTTTCTTTTTGAGATATTTGTTTTTAATTATTTTTTCATTATTTCCCTCATTTTCACTTTACTAGTTCATCTCTCATCATTTCTGATTTCGTTATACTTTCTCTTTTTTTCGTTTTTTTCTCTTGTTTCTTTCTTAATTCATTTCTCACTTCTTCTCCATCTCATTCTTCCCACCCCCTTGCATTTATTTATAACCTCTCTCTCTCTCTCTCTCTGTTAACTTACCCTCTTGCTATTTTTTTTACTTTTCTTTCATTCTCCTCTTTCTCATTTGCTGTCCTGTAACCTTTCTTTTTCGCTGCCATCTCATCAAAGTTAATTGGCTCGCAGTACAAAACTGGACGCAACTCCAAAAATAAAATAAAATAGAAGACTGCTGACCAAGATGGTTGTAAAAAAAAAAAAAAAAAAAAAAAAATAAAATAAAAAAAAAAAAGAGAAAAAAATTCAGCGCTTCTTTTCTAATTTTCATTAAAGCCGCGAGAGTCTCCTTGGAGTCTCGTTAACCTTCATCACGAGATCTTGGCATCCGTTTGATTCTCAGCGTTCTTTTTTCGGCCATATTTAAAGATCCCCTTCACCTTAGAAGGAAATTATAAACGATATTTCCACTCACTCTTTTATAATTAGTTCAATTAAAACAAGGCAAAGTTACAAATAGTGTAAAGACTCATCACGTTCTTTCGAGAGTGCGTATTCATAAGTGTGATTCAAAATCACTTGAATATATGAGGGAATCGCAGTGCGTATAATTTTATCGCTTCAGTCTTCATAGTTTTGTGTGAGCAGTCACTTTTACACTTTACATCAAATATTATTATAGTTTCCAGGTTATATTCATGTGACCAATGTATTCCAGATAGAGATATTCTGTTGATATTATCTATCATTATTAAAAGAAAATATTAATCGTTTCTCAAATGTTAGTTTTTTATTATCCCAGCAAGATAAGTGCGACAGAAATATTAATTCATAAATAAATCCCAAAAGCTACAAGACATATAGATATTTGGTGAAAGAATATTTCATATGCGTTAATAAATTATTATGTGGACGCATAGATATTCTATAACCTTCATCAAGCTTTCAAACATTTATTTTCTATTTTATTTTATTTCGTTTTAACATTACTCTTAGTGCATTGACCTACTTTAGTTGATTATCTTCCGTCTCCGTATAAATCTCTTTTAATGATGGATCTCGAATTTTCTTTAGAATTTTGGTTAGGCTGGATGTCATTCCAAAAATTTTCTGTTTTTTATTTATTTATTTATTTACCTTGAATTTCTTTCCTTTTAAAACGTAATATAGCATTGTTTTGGAGGAGTATATTCTTAAACTTAAAGCTGCTTGACCTGGAACATTCAAAAATGCGTTTTTTTTTTCCAAAAACCGACAATAACCGTTTACCAATATCTTCACACCGTCAACTTAAAATAGATGTTAAATGACAAAAAAAAAATTACCTGAATGATCTTTAACTGCTACTAACTAGGTCGTCCGGGTTCATAGCTCTATAACGGTTTCCATATGATCACCGAAATTAAGCAATGTCGAGACTGGTCAGTACTTCGGTGGGTAACCGCTTAGGAATAGTAGGTGTTGTAAGCTTGGGTGTGTAGGTGGTGTAAAGGATAAGGCCTGGAATTTTTAATCGGAGAGCCGTGTTCCAATTCCATTTTCCTTCGTTATATTCACTTACGCACAAATACCTTTTCGATAGGTACAAATCCACCTCTTTTTCGCCCAGCTAATTAGTAAATTTTCTATCCTTATTATCTTTACAAAAATTCTTACAATCTAAAAATATTTTCTGGCTTTAAATAACCTACAATGGATTGATAAGACGTACAAAACGAATCCTATAATGTCACTGACGATAGTGATTCTGTATCTCCTCATCTTGTTGTTTTCTAATTCACGTTAATTGATTTTCCCCGAAGAACCCATATTCTATCATATTCGTCCAATGTAGCTCTACAGTCAACATTAAGCATCGGCGTCGAGTAACCAATTTCCATATAATTCTTTGCCCAACACAGACGTCTCTTTCTCTTTGAGATGTTTACTTAAATTTGATAGTTTAATTGTATATACTCACTGTTTTGAATATTCTGCGTTTTTTTTTTTTTTTACATTCTCAATACAAGCTATTTCAAATATATTTTGCTGTTAACGCTGGTTTTCTTTTTGATATCCAATTTTAGTGTTCCTCAGATTCACGTGTGGCATTTTGAAAGCCACTTTGGCTTCTTGCAATGATCTTCTGAGTAAGCTGTGTTCAAACTTAGGGCAAATTCCAAAGATCTCAATACCTTTACAATATCTTGTTCCTCTTTTCAATTTATATCTTCATTGCAATCCGTAACAATCTTTCTTCTATCTCAAATTAAAAACAAATAAATTTTAAGTAGATTCTTTTATATAGAAATTGATGAAAATTTCTCAGTCAGAACAAGACAGTAATTTATTTTTAAAAAGCGATGTTAAGTTAAATTTTTTTGAAGCTATTAATTCAGAAAACTGTTCAGCATTAATTGAATTGTTTACTATGTGATAAGTATCCTTTGATTTGCATAATAAAATCTTACATCACCGCATAACTTACTTTAAATATTCCCTGATAAAAGCAGATACAGTGGAACCCGGATATAAAAGAAACCAAATTAGAGCCTTGTGTTATAATGTAGATAAAATAGACCAAATCCGGATATAAGAGAGACCCGGATATAAGAGACTTCGTCTCCGGTCCCGACAACTCTTATATCCGGTTTACACTGTACTATAAGTTAAAATTCGCATTATATATGTATAACTTGAATATTTTAACAAATACATATGAAGTTTTAACAAATACATATGAAGTTTTTCAGGTCTTATTAAAAATGTGACACGTATGCGCGCAACTAAATTTCAGCGTTACAGAACCATTTGTCAGACGAGTTCAATCTGTATTGGTACCTATGTACGGTCACTATCACTATGCCAAATCACATGAAGAGTAGAATCACCCCCACTTATGAGAAACATACAAGGAGTGTGATATTGAATTAAGTAAAATTAAATAAATAATTTATTATTCATATTTCCAGCAATTGCTTGCCCACACCGGTTCTCATTGTTGGACATTGGCAGCACGTCTTCGCATGTCTCCAGTTATTCCCCCTCCCATTCAAACCAATGTTTTTAAGCAATTCCACCCTAGCAAGGTGGGAGTGCCACTAGCACGCTAGGGGTTACAGACGATTGAGAACAAGAGTAAAGAGGCGTGTTTGAGGAAAGGACGGGGAACAAGATCAAGGCATCAAATGTCGATTGACGTTACATTTGAATATTTGAAGATTATAGTTATCGGGAAAGCAAGCAAGGGGAATAGAGTTCCACAGACGAGAAGTGCGAGAGAAGAAGCTGTTTGAGTAGAAGAGACGGTTACATTTAACCGTTTGAACAGCGAAAGGGTGGGACCGAAATGCCAGCCCAGTAGCTCGCTTAAATTCAGGCAGTCTGGAAACCAGCGAAAGTAGCTCGTCGGAACATTTGCCGTGAAAATACTTGTAGAAGAGAAGGCACGTCTGTGAGAAAGCGACTGTAGAGTAGATGCCAGGTCAGGATTTATCACATTGAATATTCGTCTCTGGATTTTGTCGAGGACCTCGAGACGTACAGCGGGGGCAGCAGACCATATATGACAGCAATATTCCATAGAAGGATGGATGGTTGATTTATAGATTTGATGGATGGACTCAGACGAGAAAAACTTTCTGGCATGACATAGCCAACCAACTTTCCTTGCAGTAAATGAAGCCTTTGATTCAATTTAATTATTTCAACTCATGTCATCGGACAGCATGAGAGCAGTCAGGCTAACGAGTCGCTCTCGGGTAGTTGGAAATCAGCCATGGGTAACGGAAAGCACTTTCGTTTTGGAGGCATTAAAGTTTACAAGCCATTTCCAATGCCAGTCAACCACAGATTGGATATCCTTTTCGCCAGGTTAGTTTTGTCAACGATACCAGATTTACTACTGAGGCAGGAATAAATAGAAGTGTCGTTCACGTAGATGCCTTCTTGAGAACTGATGACATCGGGAAGGTCATTGATGAAGATCGGGAACAGTGTAGGACTCAAGATAGAGCCTTGAGGAACACAAGCGTTCGTGATAAAGAAGCTGGGGAAGAACCCGTTTAGGACGACCTTCATTTCACGGTTTGACAGGAATGATTGTAATGTGGTACAAGACATTTTTAAGCGCTGAATCTCGCTTCCACTTACGTACGGGTTATTAAATGCAAAAAAAAAAATGCACTTTTATATTATTATTACTTGTAATAGTATGCCAAAGCCGTCAAGGCATACCCACTAAAACTACGTGGTCAGCGCAGTGAAGAGATAATGTCTAAGAAAGAACGCCAGGAACCTGGCACCTGGTAAAGAGAATGATCTCCAACATTTGCTAACCTTTCGTGATTTGGGCCGGTAGATCTTTGCACTAATTACTAAATCATTTAAACTCGTTGAATTCCTCGGAACGTGTGTGATAGTTCTTATTGAAATGTGTTTGTTTAGTTTTTTTTGTTTTTGGTTTTTTTTTTTGGTTGTTTTTTTTTTTTACTTTCACTTTCTCTTTTTATTAATATAAACGGAAACAAATATCCCTCGGGTATAATAGGCATTATCGCTTAAGAATTTGCAGCTGCTAAATTTAACTTAGGCTCATTTTTCTATCCGGTTCATATCAGCTCAAAATATAAGAATTCATCTAATTTGCATTATCCCGAGATAACGCACGGACATGTTCACACCAAAACGCGATAAGTATGCAGTAGGAATTAGCTCAAAATAGAAGAAAACAAATAACATACACACACATTTCAAAGGTCCGTGACTATTTCTATATGGCGATATAAAATTATTATTACTTTCTTCTTGAGAAAGAACAAGTGACGGTGGGTGACAACGTAGATGTAAAGATATCCGTTGACGAAGTGGAGGCGGTTGAGTGGAATTGACAATAAGAAGAAAAAGAGGGGGTGATGTAATACTAAGAAGAAGAAATACAAGACGAAAAGGAAACAGAAGAAGAAATACAAGAAGGAAGAAATACAGTACGAAGAAGAAGAATAAATAGAAAAGAGGAAATACATGAAGAAGAAGAAGAAATAATAATAGAAGGAGAAATAATAATGGAAGAAATAAAAAAGAGAAAGGAAACATGAATAATGAAGAAATAAAAGACGAAGAGGAAATAGGAAGAAAAACATGAAATAAGAAGAAATAAGAAGAAAAGAAGAAGAAAAATAGAAGAAAAGAAGAAGAAGAAGAAATAATAGAAGAAGAAGAAGAAGAAATAATAGAAGAAGAAGAAGAAGAAGAAATAATAGAAGAAGAAGAAGAAGAAGAAATAATAGAAGAAGAAGAAGAAATAATAGAAGAAGAAGAAATAATAGAAGAAGAAGAAGAAATAATAGAAGAAGAAGAAGAAGAAATAGAAGAAGAAGAAGAAGAAATAATAGAAGAAGAAGAAGAAGAAATAATAGAAGAGAAGAAGAAATAATAGAAGAAGAAAAAAATAGAAGAAGAAATAATAGAAGAAGAAAAAAATAGAAGAAGAAGAAGAAGAAGAAATAATAGAAGAAGAAGAAATAATAGAAGAAGAAGAAATAATAGAAGAAGAAGAAATAATAGAAGAAGAAGAAAAATAATAGAAGAAGAAATAATAGAAGAAGAAATAAGAAGAAATAATAATAGAAGAAGAAATAATAATAGAAGAAGAAATAATAATAGAAGAAGAAATAATAGAAGAAAATAATAATAGAAGAAGAAATAATAATAGAAGTAATAATAGAAGAAAATAATAATAGAAGAAATAATAGAAGAAGAAATAAATAATAGAAGAAGAAATAATAATAGAAGAAATAATAATAGAAGAAATAATAGAAGAAGAAAAATAATAGAAGAAGAAGAAATAATAATAGAAGAAATAATAATAGAAGAAGAAGAAAAAATAATAGAAGAAGAAGAAATAATAGAAGAAATAATAATAGAAGAAAAATAATAGAAGAAGAAATAATAATAGAAGAAATAATAGAAGAAGAAGAAATAATAATAGAAGAAATAATAAAATAATAATAGAAGAAGAAGAAATAATAGAAGAAGAAATAATAGAAGAAGAAGAAATAATAGAAGAAAAATAATAATAAGAAGAAATAATAGAAGAAGAAATAAGAAGAAATAATAATAGAAGAAATAATAAAGAAGAAATAATAGAAGAAGAAATAATAATAGAAGAAATAATAGAAGAAGAAGAAATAATAGAAGAAGAAATAATAGAAGAAGAAGAAGAAATAATAATAGAAGAAGAAATAATAATAGACGTAATAATAGAAGAAATAATAATAGAAGAAATAATAATAGAAGAAATAATAATAGAAGAAATAATAATAGAAGAAGAAGAAGAAATAATAATAGAAGAAGAAGAAATAATAATAGAAGAAATAATAATAGAAGAAATAATAATAGAAGAAATAATAATAGAAGAAGAAGAAATAATAATAGAAGAAAAATAATAATAGAAGAAATAATAATAGAAGAAAAGAATAATAGAAGAAA